TAACTTTTGTTGTTAATTTAAAAACAGTAAACGATTATAAACCAAGTGCTAACTACCTATTGGTATTATAGGAACTGTTATTCAGGAATACGGATTACAAGATCCCATTGGTTTAATGGCTCACCCATTCATTATTAAATAATGTTATTTTTAATTAAATAATACCAAATGACTATAATCAAAATATCATAGACAAACATATAGAGAGAAAGCGTATTTAAAAAGTTAAAAATTATAATTATAAATTAGACCATTTTGAATGAAAGACCGCATATTTTCTAATGGTTAAATACTTATGACGCCAGTCTATTGCCATTTTTGGTTCACCAGGCCAATGCGTTAGGTTAGTTTTTGACGAAATTGAGTATTAAATTAATTTTCCATGAATTTAAAAGTAATATATTTTAAAATAAAATGTGTTTAGGATAAACATTTATACCAATTAATGGTTGTTGAACTGATTATAAAAAACTAACCTCATCCTAATTTATTATTAGACAAAATTAGTGTTTTAGTAGCATTTTCAAGTCTAGTCAAGGCAAACATGTTTGTTTACTATAATATTGAGTACCTCCATCAGCTATTACAAACAAATTGGCCCCTTCTTGCCCCTTTTTAAATTGAGTTTGTGCATCATGGTATAACATATTTATTTAAGGAATTTTTTTTCCAGAAAATATATAAAATAAATCATATTTTGTAGCTCTACATTAAAGAGTATAAAAAGTGTACACACTTACACAAACAATTGTCTATTGGCCACGTGGCGGACGATGGCGACAAACGATCTTGCGTCAATAGGAGACACCGGCCGATGGACTAGCTAGGTTAAATCCTGAGGATGGTATATAAACGCCTCAAAAATCAAAATCAATATATTTTCCAATTAAATAATTTACAATGTATGACAAAGAGCATATTGTACAAGGCCCCAATGTGGTGATGGGGTTGACTGTAAAGAGGCTCGAGGAAGTGAGGTTGTTAAGCCTCCCATACCCATCAACTTATTATGTAGATTGTCTTCTCCCATTCAAAACGTCAGAATTAGAAGTACTCAAATATCGATTCTATTAAAATACAGTTAAGGTGTTTTTCTTGGGAGTATCGTATACGGTATTATAATACTGCTTTAACTTTTCTCAGTCTCATATTTCGAGTAATACTAGTCCTACGTAAATTTTGTATAAGACCATTTTTATGCCGATTTACTCGATAAACAAATTTAATTATAACCAAAATTTACATAAAATCAATACTTTACGATAAAAACTGCTTTTCGCAACTTTTGACCTTCGATATTTGGCAACGCAGGCACGATTTGGCTTGGGACTTTTGAGATGTTATTACTAGTGCCCATATAAACAAGATTTCAAAGAAAAATCTTACCTAGGATTTTTTCTACGGAAAATCCTAATTTGACGGCTTAACATTCCCGACCACTTGGCAGGTAGAAAGTCCCACCGAAATAGCCTCTTCGTTTAAAACTACACTGTTGAAAATTTATAAAATGTGTGTTAAATAAAATATGTAAAAATTTACATAAACTTTTTAATGTTTATGACATAAACAATATATGTTACTTGATATACAAATTAAAATAATCAAAATTCTAAAATTTAACAAAAATAAATTTGTTAAAAGGTCTTACACAAAAAATAATGTTAAATAATTATTTTCTGTAAATTTTAATATAATAATATAGTTAATATTACAAAAAAATATGTTAATATTTCATAATAAAATATATAATATAATAAAAATACATTAGTTATAATGACTCTTTAACAAGTGTTAATCTAACTTAAAAATATATGTTAAATTTGGAGATACAATTTTTTTTATTCAAATTTAAACAACTGATTATTATTTTTCCGTTAAAGTAAATAAAATATTTATGTTGTTTTCTTTATTCGTTAATTATCGCCTGCTTTCGATTAAGACCGGTACCCCCCCAAGGCCTTTTGTTCTCGAAGCCTGTCGAAGTTCGACAGTCAAAGCAGTCGCTTGATGAGTACGTAGGGTGTGATCTGTGGTGTGTTAATTTGTTAAACTAAATTTAAAGGTATATTTATATTATATTAATGTTACGTTTTATTTTTAATAAATAAAAATGTTCCTATTTTATATAATTGTTTTATTTTTTGTCCAATTTTTTTAATTAATTTATAAGTGTTTTACCAAACGGCGATTATTTGTTAAAATTGTACGTACAGTATATTACATATATTAATTTGTTTTAACAATTATTTTAATTACATTTTACAAAAATAATTGTTTTTTCATTTTAAGGTCATTCCGGAAAAAACGTAACGTCCGTTACTGTTTAAGCCAATATCTTGAGAAAAGCTTTTTTCATAAATGCACCTTGTTTTTTATGAAAAAAGCTTTTCTCAAGATATTGGCTTAAACAGTAACAGACGTCACGTTTTTTTTCCGGAATGGCCGTAAAATGAAAAAAAAAACAATTATTTTTGTAAAAGTTAATTAAAATTATTGTTAAAACAACAAGTTAATATATGTTATAAGGACAAATTATTAGTGTAAAATCAACAAAAATTTAAATGTTAAAGTAACACTTTTTTGTGTAAATAAATTTAACATTTTTAATTATGTCAAAATTATAAAGATTTAAAATCAAATTAACTATTGGTTTATGTTAAAACAACAAATTTATTTAAATAAAAATAGCATAAACCTGTTTGTTAAATTAACTTTGCAGTTATGTTAAAAAGAAAAGTTATATTCACTTTTTTTACATATTATGTTGTGTAATCAATTAACATAAGTGAAATAAGTCAATGCAACTAAAAAATTTTGAGTGGACTTTCTGGGACACAAGAAATATGTTAAAAATACATAAAAATTTTCAACAGTGTAATTTTTCTAGGTATAAATATTATTGTGTCCAAATCCCACCCACCACTCAAATATCTTTTTTGCAAACCAATCAATTATCTTTTTTGCAAAGAAAAATTTCCAAAGTTCGGGTTTGTTAGGCCCCACGACCTAGACTTAGTCTTAGATTTTGTATACAGACATAACAAAAGAAGTTAAACAATATTTTATTTAAATTAAATGGGCATAATTTTGCTTTTTCCAATGATAAACAGGATTAAGTCCTCTTAATACATTAAAAAACTAAGTAAGCCAGGACAGTTTACTACTGGAAAGAGAGGAAAAACGTAGGCAAAAAATGTGTAACGTGATTTTAAAAAGGTGGACTTAATACAGTTTGGGTACAGGTATATAAGTTATAAGAACAAAGCAAACATTTTTGACTAACTAAATGCGTATCTGTCAGTACATTATTCTCTACTATTGATTTTTAATAATCCCAGGGATAATACCATAAAACATCAAAGTACAAATCAGAAATTGATTGCAATGTCGGAGTTTTAACGTATTGGACTTCCTAATTAATACAGTCCAATATCAAAGTACCGAATTGAAACAAAAATTTGATTAGGAAACGTATTTTCATCCAGGACTAATCGAAAAACTGATGATTGAAGTTCATAAAACTTTTATTTGCTTTAGGCTACTTTTTGTTTCCAGTTTAATACATTGTGTGCACTTATTTTTGCAAATAATTAATAAACCAGGGCAGCATATGTCCACTGTGTAATGACTGGGTATTAAAGGATGTTATAAACGCCAAGCCGGGGCCATAACGTTCTTAATTACCACCATATATCTAACCAAAATAGGTCTCAAATTGAACTGATGAACTGCCGTGGTTTCATAGCTCGTAAAAACTTGGATTTTCCTAATGGACGCGTTTTCCAAAGAAACATTAATAAAGTTAACATCCTCCATCGTTATGTTATTTAGTTATTAAAATTGTAATAGTTTTTAGGGCAATCAAATAAATTATTAATAAAAACAACCTTAATGTCCATTTTATAAATTTGGTCTATTATAAATTTAGACAGATTTTTTTACACAAACAATAAGTACTTTAAAAATTAGCAATAACACATTAAGCAATAAAATGTGAATGGATTAAACAATTTTGGCTCATTAGAAAGGGCATGGATGTGGTCTACATGGATCGATAGTACTAGTATTGCAGACTAAAATCCTCAATGGATTTTGAAAATTAAGCTCAAACTTTAAGTTTAAAGGAGTCACTCCATGCTAATAAGTTCTATTATTTTTATTCAATTTCAATCATGAGCTCTAATTTGACATTTTAAACGTTATATAAATAAATATATATTATTTAAGTAATGTTGGTTGCCTAACCCTGCTTTTTTAATCTACTCATATAAAGGAAAGTTAGCCATAGATTACACTGTAGGTAAATTTTCAACTTTTGAAATATCACAGCTAAACCATCGGACATGTAAACGTAATTTTTCGTCGTAGATTCCAAATCTGTGGTCGGTTTAGCTGTATCAGGTCTAAAAAAGTTTATCTGTCGGAAATCCGATCCGGGAACACACTGTATACTGGTATATTATAATTTGTAAAATAATATTTTACATATTTATACAGGGTGTTTCCAAAATCTTTGAATTTTGACCTGATACAGCTAAACCAAGCATGGATTTGTAATCTACGACCAAAAATTAAGTTTACTTGTCCGAGCGTTTAGCTGTGATATGTTCACCTCCCTACAGTGTTATAAAAAAGTTGACTGTCCATCATTTCATCATCAATAACAATTTTACTTAAAAATTCATTGGAATAAATATGACTTATTGACAAATAGTTAAGAAGGTTAATACAGACAACGCAAATTTATATTCTCAATTATTAATCAAACGAGGTTTAGTTAAACTTTAAAATCGACCCATCCAAATCGGATTGAAGTAATTTTTGTAGTTACACATTGTAATTAATATCTAATTTCATGCCCACATCAGTCCGGTAATGATTTTTCTTCTATTTTATTTTCATTTGCTACTGTTGTAAAGCATACAAAAGTTGGTAGCATGGTAGAATAAAATTCCTATAAGACTAAAAAAAAATATCTTTAATTTTTTAACTAAACAATCTTTAATTAACAATATTTCTACAATTCATTTTAGTCAAACTTTTGCTCCGCCTTAAAAACTATATTACTAATATCCATTTTAATCCTACTTTGCTCTTGTTTGGGTAATTTTTTTACCATTCTTGCCATACTTAAAAAGAACAATTCTGTTTCGTCAAAATTATCCAAAACATATTTTGTCGAACTAAGTTCATTATCCAATTTAATTTTTTTAGGAATCGATTTTGTAGTGTAAAAATCCTCGGAGTTTGTGCTTAGATCATGTTCATTGTTAAAAGCAGTAAAATCGTTTTCATCGATTTCTTCACCAACGATAAATTCGTCCACTTCATCATCAGTCAAATGTTCTTGTTTAATGCTTTCATCTTTCATGCTGTCTGGTTCCTTGTTCTGTTTCTTTTGTTCATCTGAATTTAAATTAGACCTAATAACATTAAAAACATTGTGATAAATAACGCAAATATAATTGATTTTAATGATTTTTTTTTTAATTTTATTTAGCCTGCTCGTCAACTTAATTATATTAATTTAAAAACAAAATATTTTCTGGTTATACAGGATGGCAACAGGACAAAATTGTTGTTAAACAAATTCAGGGAAGTAGCGAAGGTTTCAATTATTGTGGGTTCTTATTAATAAAATTAAGACTTTTTTGAAGATTTTGACGACTTTTGAATATTAAAATGTAAAGGAATACGTTAGATTAATTGCATACATTTTAAAATAAAAATCCCAGAGGTACCTATTGATTGACTGCTCATGGGTCAGATGAAGTATAAAGTACACATTTAGGGGGAGAAGGTTTACTGCTTGTGACAAAGTGTCACATGGGTGGAGGGGGATCTAGTTGTGCATAACGTTACACCAAAGTAATATAAATATTTTTGTAATTTTTATTTTTTAATTATTAGGAAAGTATAATATCAAAAAAGTAAAATACATATTAGGCTCTACTAAAAATTGTTTAATAAAAATAATTGCATTAAGAAAACACACGAAATTAGAAAAGTTTGACAAATGACTTTGGCAAGAGGCGGGTCGAGACTTTATAACAACTTTATGGAGGACCCCTCATATATGAGGGGTCCTCCATAAAGTTGTTATAACATTTTTATAAGGGATACGAATTCGCGATAAAATAAATGAGTGGCGTAGCTAGAACATTTTTCGCCAGGGGCAAAAAATGAATAATACTTCATACAAATTTCGTCAAATTACAAAATAATCAATTTAAAGAAAATCTTTTTCTTTTTTCTATAATCACCAAAAACAAATTCATTAGTCGGCATAAAATTTTACAAAATTCACGAACGACTAACGAAATTTACAAAATCATCAAACATGACGATAACGATTCGAATTTCTTTTTAGGTCTTCATTATTTTCTTTCGAGACATACGGATGGTATATTCAAACAAAATTTTGCCAATGAATCCTTATTAGTCTTACAAAAATATATGAGTAAACTCTTTCGCCTACTATATATAAATAGATTGGCTGTCAGTTGGCATTAGCTGCAGTCGGCTTTAGACGGCAGCTAATAAAACTTTCGAAAATGCCGATCAGTAAATTTACAGAAAAAAAAGGATCCAAAAGTGATGACACTGCCCTGCACACCCCTTCCTCGCTAGGTCCCGGTATATTAAACAGAAAGTGTTTTTTTCTATATACATATTTAATTTTGGTATAAGGATATAAAACACTAAAAAATCTTGACTGTCCAGTAACCACGATATAAAAACAACAGCATACCCGTGTTTGTAAGCTTACTAGCCAGTTTTTTCATTCTTCTAGTGTTTCTAACTTAGTAACCAGTTTTTTGTGAGATTTAACTAGTAAAAATTGCCACAAGGTTTTTTTTAGTATTTTGTATTTTTAGTTTAACTTTTTATTATATTTTTTGTATTCCAGGGCCGGGTTTAAGCCTGGGCTCTTTGGATTTTAAGTAAACTCAACTAAGCAATGTATTTACAATTAAAAAATGAGTTTTGTTTAAAAGTTAGAAGTATATTTCCACATTTTAATTAATAGTAGGCTAATAAATAAAAAAATAATTATTGTTTGTTTCATTTTGATTATTTATTTGACACTTTCAGTAGAATTAAGGTTAGGTATAAGTATGTCACTTATAATAGAATTGAGGTAAGGTACCTAACCTTTCAAACTTTTTAACCAAGCGTTTCCGGACACATGTTCAATTAAACCCAGCTATAAATGTGTGCCATGGCATGCATAGAGCTTGTAAAACACCCTGTGTAAAATCGTTAAGTAAACGTTAAAAGTGTTCAACCAAATTTGCCACAGAATATTACTTAATAACTATTTTAAATGAAGTGTAACACAAAGTTGCTGGATCTTTTTTTATTAATTTAAAACAAAATACTATTTTAATATAATATCTACAGGGTTAATCGAAAGAAATACATTAAACTTTAGCATCTTTAATTAAATACGTGAAAAATCCGGGAGAAAATTTATATTCTCGTAAGTAATATCATAAGGGCATCTAATTTTTCCGAAAAAAAATCGAAAAAACACGTTGATTAGTAATATTTTAACAAGAAGCATGAGTGCTGGTGGCAACAAAAATCCGAGTCGAAGAGGAGGATTTTTGCACCTGCACGAATGCATTTTGTTCAAAAATATTACTTAGCATTGTGTTTTTTCGATTTTTTTTCACAGGAAAAATTAGATGCCCGAATGTTATTTGACAAGACTATTTCATGAGTAACAGTTAACAATTAAAATATAAATTGCAATTTTTGGTGACAACATCTGTCAAGTTTTGCCGCGGGTAAACTCGAAAAAACTGCTGACAGGTGCTGTCACACAGTTTTTTCACCTAGAAACCAATTGTAATTCAAAATTGCGCGTTTGTGATTGGTGGAAATTAAGACGAGGGAAATAGTCGATATAATCGTCTTAATTTCCACCAATCACAAACGCGCAATTTTAAATTACAAATGGTTTCAATGTGGAAAAATTGTATGACAGCACCTGTCAGCAGTTTTTTCGAGTTTACCCGCGGCAAAACTTGACAGCTGTTGTCACCAAAAATTGCAATTTATATTTTAATTATACCATAAATAATTAAGTTTGTAGTATTTTGTGATTAAATAAATTACCTATTTTTCAGTTTTCAAATTAATACCTACATATTTATTATGTATGCATGTATAATAGGTAGTATGTTTTGTAAGCTATGTGTATGCAGAATAACTGTTACTCATGAAATAGTCTTGTCAAATACCATTCGGGCATCTAATTTTTCCTGTGAAAAAAATCGAAAAAACACATGATATTACTTACAATAATAATATGATAAAAAACGTTATAGGTATTTTGGTTAACAATACAATTAAAGATAAAAGTTAAACCTAAAAAATAATATGCAATTTTATTTTACTATTTCGATACCAAGTATTTTATAGAGCGTGTGTATATTTGACAAACCCACAAAACTGTCAAACATATACTTTATAATTAATTTTTAACACTCACCCTCGAATTTCTGAGAAAGGCAAAAGAAAATCCATTTCTTTTTCATACCTCCATGGTTTTCTAAAAGGGTTAACTTTGGATAAACGTCTATTTCTTGCATTGCAAAAACATCTTCTCAGTTTTTCCCATGTTTCTTTTGCGTAATCAGCTGTAAGTAAATTATCATGTTAAAATTATTTTAGTTATTAAGTTTGTAATTGTTTACCTGACACATTTAATTCATTAGCAATATTCCTCCAAGCCGCATTCCTAACTGATATAGTTTTATATTCTAGTACATTGTGATTATACAAACATTCGTAATGTTTTACTTGTAGTATTATTTGTGTATTAATATCCATTTTAAAAAGGTACACGTATATACTATGAAAATATTATGTTATTAATAGTTGATTTTAAATATAAACAAGCATTATTCAGCGCTAGCGTTGCTTTTAACGTGACTACTCTCAGACGAATGAACGCCAGCATGATGTCATGTACCGGTTTACTGGCTGCGTATCATGACGAGCGTGACCTCACAGCGTTGCCGCGTCTCTCTACAAGCGCCATACGGTTGCGTTTAGAAACGCATCGTTTGGCAACATTTGTAAACGTGACTGATATCACTCGCAGGCCGAGACCGCATTAACCTTGATATTTTAGTCGTTAAATTTTGTTTATTTATATACCTAGTTATGAACTTTTTTAAATAACTGGAATAAAAATATTTTAAATTATTTTGGATTTTAGTTAAACTTGGGTTTATTTTAATATTGTTTTTTGTATGGATTTTAAGAAAAATATTTACTATTAATATTTACATTTATAGGAAATTTAACAATTAACAGTTTTTAGTATTGTAAACACGAATTGGACTGGATTTAAATAATACAGAGGTAGCGAGCACTTTGGGACAGATTGCAAAAATAAAAACAAAATTATCGTACATGCTTCCTTGACGCTAAGTAATCTCCTAAATACTGCCCTACTATGGAGAAAGGCAGTAACTGCTAAACAAGAAATTTGTGGGAAATTAGCATAAACTATATTTTTATAAAAAGCAGTAGATTTTTTTAACATGATATATTTGACTGCATTTCTGTGTTGAATTCGGATACAAAATATCCATAGTTTTACCATAGCACAATAAAACGCATTTTTGCATTTTTTTGTAGTAACTGCCTTTCTTCATAGTAGGGCAGAATACACATTGACAAGCTATGGCTTTATGGCGCTTTAGTCACGGGCTGAAGTTAGAAACAGGATTTCAGTCACGGGCTGAAGTTAGCTTTAAGTTAGTTGACAGTTGTCAAATATCATAAAATCGTTAAAATAAAGTGCCCTTCTTGTGAACTAATACTAAATGTGAAAATTATTGTATTATTTTAATACACAAATCCAAAAGCATAAATAGTTTCTCAACCCCAATATTTAAAAAGTTTATATGATCATTGTACTGACCTTTTAACTTCGCCGGTAGTAAACTAGATTTAACTTAATTTCGGGTGGAGACTCCACCGTGGATTTCCAAAAAAAAAATTTCTTTACTTTTACTGTAAAAAACTGCTTCTATATGGGTTCATTATCAAGGGATACATTTCGATTTACGGTTACGGTTACTCTTTTGTTTTATAGATGTCGCTCTATAAAAATATTTAATTTAAATCATTTTAGATACAAATAAATATTTGTTATAAAAAAGTTTCTAAACTTTTCTATACATTCATTTAATTAAATTGAATTCGTGTCTAAAAAGGCGTTTATGAAACCTAATATAAATATATTATATACATAATATACTATTAAGTTTAAGACGGTTTTACGACATTTTTAGGAAGTTTAATACTACATATACATTATTTGTAGTTATATACAATTTAAGAGAGTGTCACATTTTTTAGAAGATTCTATTTAAGGAAATATTAATACAGCATAACGGTTGAGTAATAGTATATTCTGTAACAAGTTTGGAATACAGCATATTCCGCTCGAGTGAAGAGTTTGTCACACGAGCCGAAGGCGAGTTTGACGGTTTCACGAGAGCGGAATATGCTATTCCAAACGTGTTTTAGACTATACTTTTTTCACGTTTACAAAAAATACCATGGAAAAATAATTTAATTGGAAGAAAGTGAGGTTGGATCGGTCTAAAATTTATTAGATATTAAAAACAGAGATGTCGCCACGAGTGTTTATTCTGTCATCAGATGATAGAATATTTCATTCTGTAACACTTTACGGAATAAGTATATGTCATTCCATAGATAGATAGAAGATTCTATTTAAGGAAATATTAATACAGCATAACGGTTGAGTAATAGTATATTCTGTAACAAGTTTGGAATACAGCATATTCCGATCGAGTGAAGACTTTGTCACACGAGCCGAAGGCGAGTTTGACGGTTTTACGAGAGCGGAATATGCTATTCCAAACGTGTTTCAGACTAAACTTTTTTTACGTTTACAAAAAATAGCATAGAAAAATAATTTAATTGGAAGAAAGTGAGGTTGGATCGGTCTAAAATTTATTAGATATTAAAAACAGAGATGTCGCCACGAGTGTTTATTCTGTCATCAGATGATAGAATATTTCATTCTGTAACACTTTACGGAATAAGTATATGTCATTCCATAGATAGATAGAAGATTACGGAATATATGTCATTCCATAGATAAATATAATAATATATACGGAATATATGTCATTCCATAGATAAAAGTGATATTAGAAGGGTCAAATTCTGTAATAGGGGTAGAAAGAGATATTTTTAATCAATGGTTGGACCGAAAAGGATAAATAAACTCTGATACTGATCGTTTTTTAATGATTTTTAAGATAATCTTTCGAAGAGTAAATATAAAAAGGTTTTATTAATTTTAGTTAGTTAGGAAATGTTGCAAAAGTATTCTTTAGCTACTGTAAAAAAAAGTACCGTTTTAGCAAAAATACATTTAACTTTGTCTATTTTTATTTGCGTTTTTATGATTTGTCCCTATGTGCATTGTGTTTGGCAGCAGCGGGAAGGCGCAGGCTGGCAAAATCGGGGTATCGGGAAAACGTGGACGTGGCACGAAATAATAACGGCCCGTGCCAACTTACCGTCAGCACTAAATTCGGAGCCGGATCAATAATGCCTTTCCCGGCAGCACACGGCAGGTAGACACTTTAATATTCGTAATGCGAAGGTGCTAAAAACGAGGCTGCAGCTGCTTGTGGCTTAGACCAATTTTAATGACAAGGGATGTTTATTGTCTGTTTGTTGGGTTAGAAAATTGTTTTTATAAAGATACATTTTTGAAAGCCATGTTTTAAAGATGATCAATACAGGATGTTCTAAAAAAGGCGCAATTTGGAAATTTATCGGATCATATAGTACAGCGTCAGAGTTCAACCATACACTGTTATAAAAATCAGATTTGTTAACATCAGTTTGTTAATTTTATTTGGTAAAATTTTAACAAAATTTGTTGTAGAAAACCAGATATTGTAATTATTAACAAAGGAAAATATTTTACCGAAAGTTTTGTAAAGGTAATATGCATTTTGCTAATTTCAAAGGATACATATTATTTTGTTAATGTTTAACAAATTATTTCGTTAAAAAGGACACGTGAATTTAAGCTGTCAATCAAAACATTTTCCATTGACAATAAGCATCAACAAGTTTAACTGACTTCAGCGACTGTAACTTATGTCCACAAAAAGGTTTGTTATAATAAGGTCCTTTTTGAAAATTACAATAATTACTGTTGAATTATTGACAGGATTTTGTTATTAAATCTATTAAATATTTGTTATAATTACAAACTATTTATTCAATTAGTTAACATATTACAGTTGGTTGTAAACATAACATAAAGTTATGTGGACCTGGATTAACACAAGTTAGCATTTTTACATGGGATTCTTCTAAAAAAATTGATAAAAAAAATCATATAAACCGGGCTAAATAACATTTTATTGACATAAGAAAAAATTCATAACTCGCTAATAAATAGACATGCAACTACATACAAGGTATGTAGGTAATAGAAAAAAAAAAGGTTTTTTTATTTACAAATTGGGACTACATCAACCTCCAAGGGTTATTAGCAGTATACATATACAAACATAGATACATTAGATTTATCGATCTTAGGAAGTCCAGGGTTTTTTCAATTTGTGTGCCCAAAGCCGTCTCCAAACTATCCGGGATGTGGTGCAGTGATCTTTTCCTATTATATTTCGGACATTCTAAAATTATATGGGATACGCTTAGGACAGTATTACATTCTTCACAAAGGGTTCGTTTTTGAAGATTAAACTATGCGTGATGGCAGTATTATCGATTCTAAGGCGATTTGTTACTATTTGGTTTTTTCGACCTGGAGGAAGGGCAATTACAAAGTTCTTGCCATTTTCCATTTACATAATTTTTGATTAGAGGGATGTGGTCTTTGTGTGTAATTTTTTTAATTGAAGGTGTTTCGTTTTCTTTTGCTGTTGCTGCTGCCAAACGATCAGCTTCTTCGTTAAAAAAAGGTTTATAAACCTATAAATATTGATTATAATCATTTAAATGGATGGTTTTACAAAAAATTGTTTGTAAATTATGTTTGGACTGTACAACAAATAATAATAAAATAATTTAGATAAAACTCAACAAGAAATAACGCATACTATGAATTGCATAGACTGGTTACTTTTGCCGGCAAATATCTAAAACGTCCCTAAAACTGTCTAAAAGGTCTTAAAAATAAGGTTTAAACTTATCTCAACTATACAGTGTGCACAAAGTATCTTTCTATGTATGGGTATATTTTTTATTTGAAGGCAGTGTCGTAACTAGAAGGGGAGATTTAGGAAATGAGTTTTGGGGACGACCTTTGTCCAAATACTCAAAAGGATATGTGAAAAAAATATCTCCAAACTGTTAAAACTAAAAATATTTCAAAACTACCTAAAACGCTATAATATAAAAAAATACGAATATAAAATAATACAAATTTTGTATGGTTGTATACCGGCCCACGGAAAAATCAAAACAGTAACCATACGCATAACACTAATCCACTCAATATATTTAATGTGCAGAATATTGCTGTTCTCTAAGTTATCTGTGAGGTTTTATTAAAAATTTTATGATTTCAAATATTTTATTGACATTGATATTGACGTTGACAATGTCTTTTAAGTGAATTAGAGTTCTGCGCATTAAAAGCTCATTCACATCCACTTAATATGCGTAACTTAACTTAACTTAACTACGTCTGTTAAGTTGTCTGTTTACATTTACTTAATACACGCAAAGAACGCAATATACAAGCACACACAATGTAGACATGGATGTAGACTGGGTTGCCTATCTATCTATAAAAGTGAAACAACAAGATAGCGCTATATCGTTTTACTGGGCATGTGATTGGCTCACGTAAGAAACGTATTCCCTTAAGTTGAGTCGGACCCAACTTTTGGATACGTTAAGTTACGTGTGATAAGTTTTCTACGAATGTAAACAGCTGTATTGGTTTCAATGCATTTCAACTTATGTCTATCACATACGTTAAGTTAAGTTACGCGTATTAAGTGGATGTGAATGAGCTTTAATGGTTATATATTGTTTCATTTTCTTTGTGCGGGCAGAGCCCAGAGTCATAAATTTAGTGTGAATTTACCTTAACTAGAAAAATGAAACTATCAACCATGCTATCAAGAATAATTAAGTAACGTAAATTGTACATTTTTCTGGTAAAGGTAAATTTACGCAAAATCTATTACTTTTTTGACAAAATTTGGTAACTTAACACCCAGTATAATATAATAAATATTTGTCTACTCCCACCTTTAAAACGCCCATTATTGTAAATGTTTTTATGACACTAAGTGACCTTTTAAATACAAATTGACAAGTTGTGGCTTTAGGGCGTTTTAGACACGAGCTGAAGTTAGTTTTAAGTTAGTTGACAGTTGTCAAATGTCATACGTTAAAATATAGTGCCCTTCTTGAAAAATAATACTAAGTGTATACATTATTTTATTATCTTAATACGCCAAAATTTAAAAAGTTTATATGTGTATTGTACCTTTTCATTTTGGCGGCAGTAAATTAAAATTATCTTAATTTCGGGTGGACTGGATTGCCCATAAAACACTTTCTTCACTTTTACTGTGAAAAACTGTTGGGCTAACCATTTTCAAGGGATACATTTTCATTCACATAAAAATTTGACATTGTCACCGGCGCGCCGGTTATACAGATTCCCATTCTTACGGTTACTCTATTTTTGAATTAATGTCGCTCTATACAAATATTTAATTTAAATCATTTTTAGATTCTAATAAGTATTTGTCTTGGGAAAAGTATAGTATGCAACTCGTTTATAAACTTTTCTAGACACTAATTTAATTAAACACAAGCTCGCTCGTGCCTAATTAAAATTCATCGATTTTTTCAATGAATAATCATAAACATTATAAATTCCCTTCCTAACAAACGTGAATAATGAAGTCATTATCCACTTTGACAGTCCTCAGTGATTGGCCGATTTCAATATTCACTGTGATTTGAACCAATCGTGTTTTAAATTGTGAGATGCGATTATAATTTTAAAATTAGTAAAAAGTAAGGTTAACCATTTGACAGGTGTCAGATTGTTTTTATTTATTTTTGCAAATCATTTAATTTATAGAAGTAAGTAAAGTATAGTATTAGATTCCTAATTAATACATGGCGACTCGAGACGCAAACCTTTCTAGTGAATAATAGCCTGAATTATCTCTCGTTTAATAATATACTATTAAAAACTTGACTATTTTGCATAAACCCTAATAAACAAACAATATTATTGTTATTAAAAAGTAAGAAAAATGAAAAACATCGTATAAATCCCTTTATATTTCCTAAAACTCTTAATTTGCAACACTTCAGCAACCCTCCTACATTACGTCCTATTTTCAAAGGCAATTCCTTACCGTAACAGCGCGACATAAAAATAAAACCAAAATAAAATATTTCGCTAAACTTTATTGTCCATGGCGTATTGTTTTCCACGGATGGACGACGCTGACCGCCGTCCGGAAGGAATTCTCTCCGAAATCGGCAGACGTCGACCTTTCCGGGGGGTCGACGTAAAATCTCGAGACCATGATTCTCGATGAAATATCGCCTATGTACCCGATCGACCGCTCTGAGTCCAAAAGGCCGTATCTCAAAGGCGAGAAACGTGCCAAAATCTCCACCGGTGCTGATTGAAGCTTTGATAGGGTAACTGTCAGACCTGATAGTGCCAGATAAGGGTCCTTACGTATTATCTACATCGTACAGACGAAAGCAAAAAAGAGGATTTTCTATTTACATTAGACGCGTTTCTTTTCAACTCGCGTTGCGATTGATGGTAACAAGATTGTTGATTATTTTTTCTACGTTAAATAAATTTTATCCCAGTGATGAAATAGTATTAAATAAGGTTTATATAAAAACAATTTAGAAACAAATTTTAAAGGGCCTTTAAAAATGTTTATTATAAAAATCATCATCATAACATTTAATATAACATAAATACACATTTACAAGTTGTGGCTTTATGGCGCTTTAGTCACGGGCTGAAGTTAGCAACAGGATTTTAGTCACGGGTTGAAGTTAGTTTTAAGTTAGTCTTGTAAAATAATACTAAATGTGAAAATTATGTTATTATCTCAATACAATAATACAAAAGTATTAAATAGTTTCTCAACGCCAATTTTTGAAAAGTTTATATGAACATTGTACTGACCTTTTAATATCGCCGGCAGTAAACTATAACTTAAATTCAGGCACGGACTCCACTGTAAAGTGCTCATAAAACATTTTCTTTACTTTCACTGTGAAAAACTGTCAATTTTCAAGAAATACATTTCGATTTATAACCTTTATAATCTATGTTTATAAAATATAAAAATTTGACATTTAACGGTGACACACAGATTCTCCTATTGTTTCATAGATGGCGCTCTATACAAATTTTTGAATTAAATCATTTTAAGATAATAATAAGTATTTGTCGTACAAAAAGTATAGTATGCACCTCGTTTATAAACTTTTCTATACACTCATTAATTAATTAAATTCGTGTATAAAATGGCGTTTATCAAACTTGATACATAATAAACTATTTTTCTACTCCCATCTTTAAAAATTAGCGTTTTCGTACATGATTTTATGACACTGAAAAGTTGTGGCTTTATAGCGTTTTAGTCACGGTCTGAAGTTAATTTTAAGTTAGTTGACATGTGTCAAATGTCATACAATCGTTAAAATAAAGTGTCCTTCTTGTAAAATAATACCAAATGTTATGTTATCTCAAAACAAAAACCCCTTTAGATTTTGCTGAAACTTTTCCATCCTTTTCTACCCTTTGAAAAACATTTTTGAAAATTTTTTCAAATTTTTTTGTCCAACCTCAAAAAAGTTATGAATTTTTAAAAAAAATGGCTTTTTTATTTTCAAATAGCCATAACTTTTTTAGAAATTGACTTTTGGGTACCTTTTTTTTTAATTTTTGTTTTCGAATGAACTTTTCAAAAAAATACACGAAAAAATACACGAAAAAAATTTAACATGATCAATTATATAAAATAATCGTTTTTTTTAGTAAAATCGTCATTTTTTCGAAGTTCGCCATTTTTTTTTTTGTTTTTTTTTTCTCAAAAAAAACTTCAATTAATTTGACAACTATCCCCGCTAATCCCGGAGTGGGCCGATTTTTTTTTGTATTTTTTTTATTTATTTAAAAAAAAATTGTCAAAGAAAATTCGACAATTTTTTTTTAAATAAATAAAAAAAAATTAAAAAAAAATCGGCCCACTCCGGGATTAGCGGGGATAGTTGTCAAATTAATTGAAGTTTTTTTTTGAGAAAAAAAAACAAAAAAAAAAAATGGCGAACTTCGAAAAATGACGATTTTACTAAAAAAACGATTATTTTATATAATTGATCATGTTAAATTTTTTTCGTGTATTTTTTCGTGTATTTTTTTAAAAAGTTCATTCAAAAACAAAAATTAAAAAAAAAAGGTACCCAAAAGTCAATTTCTAAAAAAGTTATGGCTATTTGAAAATAAAAAAGCCATTTTTTTTTTAAATTCATAACTTTTTTGAGGTTGGACAAAAAAATTTGAAAAAATTTTCAAAAATGTTTTTCAAAGGGTAGAAAAGGATGGAAAAGTTTCAGCAAAATCTAAAGGGGTCGGGTTCAAAAGTGGTCGATTTGGTATGGAATACCCCATGTACATGTACCTTTTAAGTTCGCAGGCAGTAAACTAGATTTAACTTAATTTTGAGTGGAGACTGGAGTGCATATACAAAATGTTCTTCACTTTCACTGTGAAAAACTGTTATTAGTCCATTTTCAAGGGATACATTTCGATTTACACATAAAAATTTGACATTTTCACTGGCGCGCCGGTAATACAGATTCCCAAGAATGGTTACTCTATTGTTTTATAAAAGTCGCCCTTTACAAATATTTAATTTAAATAATTTTTTGATAATAAGTATTTGTTGTAGAAAAAGTATAGTATGCAATTCGTTTTTAGCGACTGTGTATATGGGCAGGTCAGCGAATTGATCGATTAAGGATATAAAAACTTAACTTTATTATATACACATTTATATACAAACTTTCTACGAATTTAGCGTGTAGTTAGCCGGAGCCGATGTATTAAAGACGAAGAATTAGGATATAGTGATCGATGAGGGCTCTTGGATCTTCCACCAGGCTCCCTTGTCCCCCACCGTTGGTCGGGGTAGGTAGTAGCTAGAAAATATTTAAAACGAGGCAAAAATCCAAAAATTAATAAAGTCTATTATATTTATAAACACGAATTATTTCTTTTGTAATGGTAAAGGAGAGGTAAAGAAGTAATAAACCCGGGGATGTTTGCAAATGATGGGAATTTTGCTGTTTTGAAAGAAACGGCTCAGGGTACTAAAATATTTACTTTATAATTAAGGGATTCAGTCCCCACATAACTCCCCTGCCAGTGATGAAGATCACGAGACTCCGGATTGGAAGAGATCGGGAAATCGGACGCGTTTTCCATGATGTGTTGAGGCATCTCGCATTGAGGAGGATTGAAGCCGTTGAACGTTAGAGCTGTTGAACGTTAGAGCTTTTAAACGTTAGAGCTGCTGAACGTTAGAGCTGTTGAATGTTAGAGCTGTTGAACGTTAGAGCTGTGGTTGTGGCCGTCATCCAGTGTTTGGATGATTGAGCTGTGACCGTCATCCAGCGTTTGGATGGTGGTATCCAAGATTGTCAACTGTGGTTGACCTTAGTGCTGGAACCAGTGTGGGCTTTGGCTGTGGTTGTTGGCCTCCAGTACTGTAATACTGAGGCAGATCTTAGTGCTGGAAATCAGTGTGGACCGTGTTGTGCACCGCAGCGTAGGGCGCGTACCACGAAACTCGCTACGTTAGCGAGTGATTGCCGTAGTCCGGAAGGTTTGGTCTCTGTCATGTTGCTTGTGGGTACCGAATAACCAGAATGTGCAGTTATTTACATCAATTGTCCCTATTGTAGGCTATGATCGTCACCATTTTGTTACGCAAAAGCCTTCGATATAGTTGAGAGCGTGATATTGTTTTCACTATGCACGTTTACACACGAAATAAAATTCACGAATGTTCATGATCAGGTCGGGGTCACCTCTTTTGCGACTGGGTGTGTGCTGGTAGGTAAGCGAATTGATCGATTAGGGATGTACAAACTTAACTTTATTATATACACAAACTATCTACGAACTTAGCGTGTAGTTAGCCGGAGCAGATGTATTCAAGACGAAGAATTAGGATGTAGTGATCGATGAGGGCTCTTAGATCTTCCAACAGGCTTTCTCGTCCCCCACCGTTGGTCGGGGTAGGTAGTAGGTAGAAAAAAGTTATAAAGTCTATTATATTTCGGATTTAATTCATAAACACGAATTATTTCTTTTGTAATGGTAAAGGAGAGGTAAAGAAGTAATAAACCCAGGGAAATTTTGCTGTGTTTAAAGAAACGGCTCCGGGTACTAAAATATTTATTTTATAATTCAGTCCCCATACGTTTAGTTTTCTAAACACTCATTTAATTAAACACTCGCTCGCAAGGAAGCTCGTCAAATTAAAATTCTTGACTAAAATGTTATATAAATAATATGTTTAATGGTTTGCTCTAATTACTTGCATTTGAAAAAAAACACTGGAACTTCTTAAACCATAATTTGGTCAAAGTAAAAATGCACAATCTGGCTACTTCCAATTTAGTTTTTTTTATCTCAACTCTTTAAAGATGACATAAAATATTAAATATAAAATAACTTGGTGGAAAATTTCTTTGAAGGTCTTCTTAAAGATTTTTGAAAAAATGGTTTAAAAAAATTCAAACAAAGAAAATGCATTGTCCCATAAATTGTTTTTTTTTCAATTCAAGAATCCAATTTATTTAAAAACTTTTACAAAGTCCCCAAAAGAAAACTTTTTCTCGGTTTATTTCTTTAAAAACAAGTTTAATTTACGGTAGTTTTCTTTTTTTATGTCAGCGTTTAACCCTCCCTTTTACTATTTGCACTCACTTTTATTGGACACAAACACATCAAATGCTGTCGGATTTTATTGACACTGGCTTGAGATGTTTTTATTGGTGTGACAATTTCGAAAATTTGTTCGTAGAAGAAAAACTCGTCTTCCTTATTTTAAATAAATCAAAAGTTGAAAACGTTAAACTTTTATCCAAATAGAAGTTTTTTTATTATATAAACTGTCAGGGCCGGCTCGAGGTTTTTCGCCGCAAAGACATTCGGGCAAAGTAATTTTTGCTGCAGGAATAGGGAAAAAGTATTTTAATGTAATTATTTTTTCGGTTTTTTAATTTTTGTATTCAGTCTTCGATGAGTTTTTTATGATTTTAGTCACCTACTGCTTTACGTCGCAAAAAATGAAATACAAATCAAATATGACTATCACACAAAAGGTTATAAACCTAACTAACCACAAGCTATGAAAAAAATGGTTTTTATTAAAAAAAAATTTAATTGGTCAAGTAACGTTACAACGTTACATGTTATATGTTCTAACAAAATGCAAAAAAAATACAGGAAGATATAAAAAAGCTCCTATAATGTCAGCTTCAATAAAATATTATTTTTCAAAATTATATATTTACTTCTGCTTCTGCAATCGACAAAATCTATGCCAAAAGAAGTTTGGTTTAAACTATTACCTTGATTTATAGGAGCGTTTTTAAAATGTCATTGTTTGGAGATACATGGTTAACTTTTCATGTTTAAAAAATCAAT